CCCGTGGATTTCACGGTGCAACCTGCCACACGAGGAGATAGAAAAGACGCGAGTCCGAAGGGAAAAGAGGGAGAATAATCTTGAAGGAGGGCGCACCTGGCGCTCTAAAGAGAAACTTGCCATAATCGGATCTAGTCGGGGCCAGTAACGCAAGATAATCGTGCGTGGTACATGTAAGACGGAGGGAAACTATAGAGATAGAGACGACTATAAAGAAATACACGTTGGAATACGTTGTATATGTAACATATACGCGAAAGATAGAAAAAGAGAGAGATAAGTGAAGCAATCGGTCCACCTTAGGCTCTCCGCTGTTTCCAGTACACCCAGCCTCTCAAAGCAGATTAGAGAATAACTAGAGTGAGATTTTATTATTCCACCTTGGTATATCCAACGAGTATATCCTTTCTTTTACTCTTGTAACACGAGAAACATCCCATGTTGGAATTCGTCGGCAGCTTCTCGTGCTTGCAGTAACTCTCTACCAAGCGGTAGCCTAAAAATATCTCCTTCCTGCATATTCTGACGCGTTTATACAGTCACAAGTGCGGCGCGTTCTTCTTTTGTATTATCATATGTACTCTCCACTCGATCAAAACTGAAAAGTATACTCGACCACTTTAAGTAGACGGACCGGTCATATATCGATAGAGGTATATCGAAAGAGACTTTTTATAACAATTGTTTTCGACTAATCGATACAATCAAAACAACGTGTTCGTTCGTTGAACCTAATATATTATCCTATAGTCTGCTTTCTCTTCGTTAAAAAAACGCTTTAAATACATACACGCATTGGCTGCATGTCGGATCTAGATTAGAATTGTTAAATCAAAAAAACAATTTCTATAGCGTTACGTATAATAGAAACTAAAATACAGGATTAAAAGATCGTGTTGATTGAAGTTTAATCGCAACACGGCGAAGATAAACTGGAAGAAAATGTCTCGAAGAAAATTGGATCTGAGGAAGGAGCATCGTGGATGACCATCGAAAGGTATGAAGATCGTGAACGAATTAATCACCGCCGGTGGCTGGTACGTAGCTGAATATCTGCCGTCGGAACGATTCTCGAAAGAATCAAATCTGGTCCGTCGGCTGAGCGATCGATGCGTTCCGCAATCATTATTGGTGATTAATCAATCGACTAATTGTTCGATTAATATCACTTGGTAGAAGGAATAAAAGAAAAAATCGAATAAAATAGTGAGTGAAACGAAGTGTACCGAAGAAAAGTGGTCCACGGTGGAGGGTGGAGGGAACGGAGTGCAAGGGGTCGCCGTGGGCCCCGGAGATGATGCGATGATGGCCTACGGAGGAACCACCGGAAACGGAGGTGCGATGGGACCTTCTTCTGGTGGTGCTGATGTTTTGGGCTCGACCGGTGATTACAGCCCTCAGGGGACACCGACGCCGCTTACGGGACACGCTGCTGGACCCGTCGAGGCGACCACTTATGGTCCTACCACAGGACCAACCAGTTACAGCCCCCAAGATAGTCCTGCGAGTTCCGCCGGCGGCGGTAGCGGAAGCAATGGCCAACTTCCCAGCTTTGGATTTACTCAGGAACAAGTCGCCTGTGTTTGTGAGGTAAGTTTTCAGTTAAAAAATGTTTGATATAGTGTTTGAGTGTAGATTTGGAATTTGAGATTTGAATTTGCTTCGAATCGATGTGCGATCGATCGATGAAATAGATTCCGCGCGCGGTGTTGGACAACGAGTGTCCGACGGAAGGGTGCAAGGTGCAGTTTCCTTAATTACGTTCCATACTACATAAATTTCGTTTAAAATTGATGGCCCACAAAATATTTAAACGGAGAAAATATGTGTACTGACAGATAATAGTGAAATGTAATTTGTGATTTTGTTTCCTTTTTGTAATTAAGTATTAAACGAATCGAGGCGTTTCTAACCCTTCTAGACGATTGAACAGAAATCAAGGTACTTTAAATAATATGAATACTTTTGGAAGATTTATTTGTATATACTATTCTTTAGATAACTTATGAAATTTTTGATTTTTTTCTTTTTGCTATTTTGTAAACTAAAATGTAAATTAGCAAGATGAAACTTGAATATTTTGAAAGTTATTTAGACCTCCGCGGAGAAGATTAATCGTGCTGTTTTTCTTAGGTTTATATGGCTCAAAATGGGTGGTGTATTTCAGTAGTTATGTTAAACATTTGGTTTTAGTATTAAATATAATTTATAAATAAAGTATTTCCAAAAAAAGATGTCTAAAGAATCATAAATGCGAAGAAGTGAGGAAAACAGCAGAGAGTTAAAATTTCGTAGAATCCCTGGATATCTCATTTCGTCGTTTTAGAGTTAATCGTCCGTATAATTTATTTTATTTGTTCGTATGTATATAGCTTTTAAAAATATGAATGTTATCTGTATATCCGAGAACAATAGAGAAGTAAAATTCGCAACGTTGATAAAATTACCCATAAAATAGCTGTTAACTCTTGGCTAGTGTAAAAACGCTTGTTCGTAAGATGCTTAACTGGATTCGTTGGTTTAATTTACGTACGTTGCGAATATGCGATGATGAAATTGTCCCTGAAATTTTCTATTTTCCCGGGCCATGTTCCACGAGCACAACATTGTACAGCACCGCGCGCCAAGATTCACTTGCATGTCACACACCTAATGGAGTTCATACGATTTTACTGCAACCATAAATTGTTTTGTGTGCGACGTTTACGCTCCTCTCGCATTGAACTGATCGAGCAGCCCACATGTGCGCGGCGGAATTTTACTTACGTGTTCCGAATATTTTATTCGGGGCACTGGTTCGAGATCGCCATTTTGTCTAAATTGGAACAAACGAAAATTAAAGATGGAGGAAGATATATATTGAAAAAAGTTTATTTAACATTCGCACGACTATGAATGTTTGTACTTCTTTACAGAAATTAATTGAAAATTGATTGACCAGAAATAATCTTTACTAATTTCAATTTTTAAGATAATATTTATGATATTTTTTTAAACATTTCGTTGATTTTGAATATTTATACAAATTTATCTTTTTATGAAGATGGTTAAAAAGGTAGAACCTAGAAAGAATATTGATTTACTTAGTATCTAATATATACACTTGTCAATGTATAACATTCGATTAATTATACACAAGTGCTAAGAAAAAATTTTGAAAAACACGGAATTTATCGGAATACTTTCCAATAATAAAAAAAATTCTTATTCAACACTACATACATTAAAATCAGTACTGACATCAGAAATTATAGGTACCTATAATATGGTACCTATGGTACCTATAGGTACCTATATTTGCTGAAAAGCAATATTCGGAAGTACTATAAAAATAGAACATGTGAAGAAATATTCAAAATTACTATAAAACATACAAAATCTTCAGTGGCAGTCGTAATTATTTGGCAGTGGGCGTGCGAGCGTTAATTGTGTTAATTGTATTAAAGTATTTACTTGTATTACAAAATTATGTAAATTACATGAACCACTAGTAAATTAGGGCGCACATTATAGTATGTAGAAGGAATGTGCGAGGAACGTTGATGATGTATTTACACTTTTCCCATCAGTGCGTTACGTATACGGCTAGACGTTTAACTCCTTGCCCACGTCACATGGATATTCCGTTTAATTTATGACTACGTTTTGCGTTTTCGATAAACGACCCCGCTGTTCGCTCGGAATGGAATCGTTTAACGGGTAATTACGCCCGCGTCATAATAGAGAGGCGTAGAGAGTCTAGTGCATTTACGATCGTGCCTCACAATAATTCAAACTTATCGTTTCGGTTAAAAGCATTCCGTATCTTAAATATTTACCACGATCAAACGATTTATCTTTATTTAAAATTTGAGATTTTTAATTTGAAATTTTTAATGTTAAAATTTGGAAATTAGTAATACTCGACTATGTATGTTTATACAATACATTTATCCAATTGATATTTACGGATGTTTATTCAAATTTAATATCTAAACGTTTATGGAACATAAATGTACCTTTTAATATCTAAATATCACAACCAGTACTATACTTCAGATAATTTTTATATTTCTGTACATGTATATCTTACATATTTTGTATATTCAAATTCTTCCCTCTACCCGAAAAAATATAAACATCAGCAGTCCAGTAATAATACATGACATCTGGTGAGATGTTGCTTCACCGGTCACCATGGTTACGTGTGTAATTTGCGATAACTCCGTGAGACGTGGGCGCTAGTTGTCTTGTATCATTCGAAATAACCGGCGTGAATCGACTTGTTCGAGAAAGAACGATCTATCGATATTTAGCGGTTCGCCGGGTGGTGCCGGTCGTTTCTTTGCGCTACCGTGTGTGTATATCGCGTGCTTCAAGTTCTCGCGCGCGCGAAGACAAATCGATTCTCGAGTCTCGCGGTGGAAATACGCGATGAAACGAGACAGAACGAAATCGTTTAACCGTTTAGTTCACCCCGGCATGTCGGTTTGATTTGTCGTCGGCCAATCGAAAATCGTTCTTACACCGTCGTTAAAGTCTGATCGCAGATCTCTCTGTCGGCCATTTCTCTTGGGCTTTCGTCGCGGCTCGTTTCTCATTATATGGCTGGATTTCTCTTACACATTTCGTGATTAATCGTTCGTCAGAAGCGTTGCGCTTGGAAACTAGGTGGCACCCGGCGACGCGAATGAAGAAGTAACCATGGCAGGTGCACGAGACTCGTACCACCGTCGCATTTAATGGACGCTCGTTTTTGGTAATTTGCCTGTAATGAGCAATCGAGTATCGATTCCGTCACAGCGTGTTATCTTTTTCCCCTCCTTTTTAATTTAATGCTCATGTGTAATGAGAATTTTACGGTGTTCTCTTCTTTTTTTATTTTGTTCTTTACACGTTACGAGTCTTGGCATCGGAGGATAGCTCGTGAAAAGGCCATATCAATAGCGATGTGCTTTCAAACATTTCGATCGCTTTGAATATTTATACGTTGCGAAAAATTCGAATCACTTTAAACGCGACTCGATACTTGAAATTTTTGAAAGATTTAGTACATTCTGATCGAGTTGTTAAAATTTTGGTAAGTCTTGAAAATTTTAGTAGATTTCTTGTATATCCGATATAAAGAGTCTAAGATATAGGAAATATTCTTTCTATAATGATCATGAAATCTATCAAGACTTTCAGGGTTTATCGAAGCATTAACAACTCAAGAATTTTAAGAATTTTAAGCATCGAATTACGTTCAAATTATTTCGAATTTCCTTGAATCGATTTGAAATTGAAACTCGAACGCCACCGTTACGTATCAATGAATTTATCAAAGTGTGATCTTCCTCGATAAATGAACAGCATGCCATCCCCAGATCTTTATCTACGGTTGTATTTATGGAAAAGAGAAAAAGATAAAACTACCCTTTTCGCGAAAAGAAATAGATACGAGACGAAATAATAACGATTGAGAAACATACAAGATACACTAGAATAAGAGGAGATCGGGATGAGTTCTGCCGACTAACAGTGTGCCCCCCCTGTCTATCGTCTTCAAGGCGATGGTGTCGTCTGTCCAGGTTCTCCAACAAGCAGGCTCCGTGGAGAGGCTCGGCAGGTTTCTATGGTCCCTGCCGGCGTGCACTAGGTTGCATCGCCATGAGAGCGTGCTGAAAGCCAAGGCAATTGTCGCTTTCCATCGGGGCCACTTCAAGGAGTTGTACAGGATCCTTGAGAGTCATACGTTCAGTCCGCACAATCATCAAAAACTGCAAGCTCTCTGGCTCAAGGCTCATTACATAGAGGCCGAGAGACTGAGAGGAAGGCCTCTTGGTGCAGTCGGTTAGTATAAGATTTTCTTCAAATTAATTTAAATATGCGTCGTCTAATCTGAAATATGATATGAATAATATGAAAGATACACGGGTACTATGCGCTATCTTTCAAAGTAGAAGGTTACTCGTTTGTCTAAAATTAATTGATGACTCAAGGCACTGAAGCATAATATGTTGTTTATTTATTCTGTAACTATAGCTCCTGGTTTCCAGTTCAATTGCATTGTAGTTATCTAAATTAAAGCGCGAGGTTATCCTCTCGTTCAAAATGAATTGATCTTTAAGATTATATAAACACTAACTTATATGCTGTTTATTTGCTTATTAGCTTTCTGGTTTTTAGTTTAACTCACTGAGGGCCGACGTTGAATTAACGCAACATTTCATTTGCAGTATTTTTTTTCAATCATCTTACATTATCAAATCCATCTTTTAACATTGTGACTATATAAAGGAATTCCAAGAATTCGCGTAATACCCTTTTTGTCACTATTTCGTTCAGTTAGATTCTACAATTGTATAATATTTGAAGATATTGGGATATTTTTAACATTATGATAATAAACCATTGCTCGGTCCTTAATGGATTAATCGCATTGTAGTCATCTGTAATTTATATCTACTAATATGTTTCTTGTATTGATTGTCCATTCTATTAATAAACATATCCTTGAGTATTAATAGCGTTTCATAACTTTAGAAAATATATTTCTAGGTACTTTGCAATTGAATACAAAATTCTATGCTGTTATTTTATCTAACAAGATATAGTAACATTAATTCAATGTAATATAGGAACCTTGAGTATTCAACTGATATTTAGATAAAATATATCTAACATTGAGTTCATTTTGTCACAGTTACCTAAGAGCTGAAACATATGACATTTCTTAAACTGTTTTGGCGGCCATATTGGTCACGTGACAGCTCAGCAGTCTAACGTATAGAATACGAAATCTAACTTCTTCAGTACCTTTTTTACACAGTTTCGACACGTAAAATATAACTTATTTTTATCTTCTATAGTTGAATGTATGTTTTAGTATATCATTGCGAAGGAATGTTTTCGAATGTTTCTCGTTCGTTGTTGCTCTCGATGTTTCGTGATCTCACTTAAGCATCGATGATACGAGTGAGTTTAAAAATACGAATCAACCGCGTAACAACGCAGGATTTAATTTATTGGCGATTATAATAGCGCCGGAAAGGAAACATCTCGCGAAGGAACAAGCCTCGCGCCGCAATTTCGCGCCTGAGGCCTGCAAGCTTTATTTCTGTCGCGCATTGTAAACAGGGATGAAGGCGAGTTTAACGAGCTGACATTCTAATTAGATCTTTCTATTTACTTTTGTGAACCAATATGTGTCATCTGATCCCTTTTCCCCTCTCCTCTTTTCTCTCTGTATGTCTGCTAAAACCAGAGAGCAAAAAGAGAAATTTTACTCCACCTCCCGTGTGACACGAAGCTGTAAAGATTTCCGGCTGCTTTGTTAGAATATTTCGCCATATTTCTACGGCATCATTGCTAGCCATGTTTTTTTTAGCGTACTTAGGTTAGGTCCTTATGGCTGGACCGAAAATTTTTTAAAGCCGGTCACCAATGGTAGTTTCCTTCTTCCTTTTTATATAAATTTGCTTTAATTATTAAATGATTTAATTTGTTTACAGTGATGTGAATAATATCCGCTCATATGCATTTGTTCGATTTTTTAAATTTTAGCTAGTATTGAATATTTGCGGGATTGGTAAGGATAATTGGCTTTATACCCAATGCAAAAATAAACAATTGTGTAAACAATTAATAAAAAAAATTTTTAAGTACCGCTATTGGAATATAAAACGAAAAGTCTATCTAACTGAAAACTTTTGCACACGACTGTAAATTCATTATATCGTTAACGAAACGCCAGAAAGGTATTTTTAAAAAATCTTGGAAATATAAGCTTTTGTTTATGTGTTTCGTTCTCGTGGTCCCTGTATCGATGGCAATTGATAGCCGAAAGAGAATGCAAAACAATGCACGATATTTGTAGATCAAACGACGGAAATAAAATCGAACCGCGCCATGCGTGCATCACAGTTGCGTCGTTTTAAAAATATCCTCTCGTAATTCAGAGGTTTACCGTTATTCGTATATATCGTGTAACCCTCGTGGGGGATTTGTTTCGTTGTAATTAATGATAGCTGCGTGTAATCTTGCTTATGAACAAGAAAAATCCATAAAAGTCCTAAAAGTAGTGATATTTAAAAAAAGATTACAATAGTTGCTTATTACTAGAATTTAGGTATAACGAAGATTGTAGAGGTTACCCCTAGTAGTAGTGAAGTTAATATAAATGCAATGTAAATTTATTTGAAATATTTTATTTACGAAATTGACCAAAAGTGTTTGAATTACAGGAAAATATCGCGTTCGTCGCAAATTCCCACTGCCACGTACAATTTGGGATGGCGAGGAGACGTCTTACTGCTTCAAGGAGAAATCCAGGAGCGTCCTGAGGGATTGGTACGCCACCAATCCCTATCCCTCACCTCGCGAGAAACGAGAATTGGCAGAGAGTACGGGCCTCACCACTACGCAAGTCAGCAACTGGTTCAAGAACCGAAGACAAAGGGATCGTGCAGCTGAACACAGGTATTTATCTCTTTCCTTAAGATTTCTAACATTAATCCTATCTTAATAACACTATGCTTTGTGTTAAAAAGCGCTAGGTGATACTCACAAGTATCTCTGAATCAAATATTTTTATCGTCTTCTACTTCGAATAGTCTTTTCCGCATAGTAACCTTTGAGAGGTCAAAACCATTTAGAACGTTGACATTTTATACACCGTTATCGTCTTTGTTCCTGCTAAAACATCCGATACCTTATTCATCTTACCCGGCCGAGTAAACGGATAATGCTAGTAATAAACCGTTGAAATGTATCATCAGTCAGGCGGGAAATTTGAAAGCTCTTACTCATGCAACGGTGTGTTACTTACAGTTATTAAGACGCTTTATAAACAGACAAATTTACGCGTACACATGATGAACGTGTAAATTAGCTCATGAATAAGGGGTTTCCATCTCGGACATTTCGAAGAGGAAGTTACATAACCTCCTTCTAATAACCAAATATCGGGATACGCCAGACACGTCTGCTTGTTTTGAAGCGGAGGAAAGAGAGGAAGGAAACACACGAGGAATGCCGGTGGTGATATAATTGTTGCCATAATAATATCTCGGTCTGGATATATGTACTTATTTTCCTATATATCTTTTCTTGGATGGCCTTGTTGCAAGAAGTTAATCGACAGTGGCCGAGCTGATATCCGTGGAATCCGTGGAGGGCGCAAGCGTAGGAGTTTCATGTTGTTTGGAAGGTCGTTGCTCTACATCCGATTTTAGAAACGACCGAGCAAACTCGAAGACGGCCTCATAACTACGTAACGTTAGTAGCGATACTAGCGATGCATTTCTCTCTCGTCTTGTGATCCGCTTTTTGTTTGTCGTATCTTAACTTCTCGCAGTACCTTTATAATTTACACTGTAAGAACACGTTGTCTGGTTATCGATAAAATAAGGGTTCTTACGTGTACGCTTTTCTTTTTCCGTTGTTACTTCTAGATTGTCCTCGAATTTAATTATATGGACGTTAACTTTTCCGTTCTGTTCACGCTGGGGCTCTGTAATTTTCGATCCGAAACGAACACCTCGTTCAAGGTGTAACATGATCTGTCGAACCGCTTAATCGTAAGATCCTCATTACCGCCATTTTGCTTCTTAACCGGAAAGAGTTAAAATTCTCCACTACTCGGAACAATTTAAGTACCGTTATAATACGCTCCCTTGAAACCGCGTGGCAATATATGTTCAATTTTTATGTCCTCCTCTTGTATCATAATTTTCTATTTCCGTGATATTTTAACTGATAACAAGAACCTTCTCATGTTCTTCATCTTCTTCGCTGAAAAGAAGCTTCAACTTACAATTAGATGCATGCAATCAACCAACTTGATAACCGAGAGAAATAGACACAGAATAGGTGAATATATTAAAGTAAAGAATATTCAACTTCCGTTCGAACCAAAGTTCTTAACTTGTGGACCACGAAATATTTTCTAGAGGATTGCCGTGGTCATTTTTAGTTGAAGATTTTTAGCACCAATTAAATATTAGATTAGAACTAAATTTTGCAGATTTCATTGAAATTGTTCTTTTATATAAGGGATACGTATAATATAAATTATATAGGGGTATATATGTACCACATGTAATAAGAGAAGAAAGTCACAATTTATTTGGTTATCACAGGAAAGTCGTACGACTTAAAAAAAGGTTAGAAAACTTTGATATAAGAAATTCATGATGGTCAACGAATAGACTGAGACGCAATCGAGTAGACGTGGTCGGATGCAACAAATACACAAAAGAAAGAAAACCAGTCGTTGTTCCCTTGATTTTGGTGAGTCCATCGATGCGAATCATGGCCAGGATAGACAGCGTTCCTCCTCGCCGAGAATTTCGCGAGGGAGGAAGTGGGAAGCACCACCGTGGCGAGGCCCAGTCCAGTACACAGCCGTGTCACGCCACGGGGAACGTATCGAATTTCTTATGGCTTCTGTGTATTCCCATGAACGGAGACAGAAGGTCAGAGCGAAACAGAAAGGTAGACAGAGAGACGTCAGAGGGGAAGAAAGAGAGAGATATAGAGGCGCGGTGGTGGATCCTATAGTCCTATCCGATGGCTTTGGGGGTATCGTGGATACGCATGGCATCATTCGCGGCATATTAATTACAGGAAATCCTACAAAGCATCCATATCACCCTCCCATGCTTTCCCTATACGTAATTCGTTGTACACCCCATCGATGGAATATCGAGTTGGCACTGAACGATTTTGAGATCATCGTTGCACTTTCACTTCTTTTTATTAGGAAAAATATACATTATATCTTTCATGAGAATATTCTTCCTTTTCGTTGGTGGAAGATCGGTGGATTGTATTTCGATGTCGTTGTTTTTTTTTCTTTTTTTTTAAGATCATTGCCCGTTATTTTACTTTTTCTCGTTGCGTATTTGTATAAAAGAGGCGATTAAATACACTAACGATGAGCTCGAGGCATTGAGTATCTTTGACAGAGGTTGGGTCATTTGAATTTAGACGAAACAATTCCATGACGGAATACGATTTTTGTCTTTTGACTCATAGTCCGTCATCTTGGTTCGTTGTGCAGGGTAGCCAACTTTATCTTGCAAAGAGACTAGGAGGCAGCGCGAAACGTAAACAAGCGGCACGGATTGCACCGCTTAGACAAGCAATTCTTATCGCCACGCACCGTTAACCGCCTCTTTTTTTCTTTTTTCCTCTCCTTCCCTTTTTACTCTTCGTCGCGCAGTTTCAGTGGGAGCACACGTGAGTCATTAATTCCCCGAAATGTTCTAGCTCCGCTCTTGTATTTTCGTTTCGGTCGAATTTATCGTCGAGTCTCAATCACCAAGGTTGCATCCCAATTACCCAGTAGTGTAACGTGAAACTAAAGACGAGCTGAATGAATACTTATATATCGTAAGAGTTTTTCAAATGAAAAGTCTATCCACTATTAAGTGAATTTTGCTGAAACAGACAAATAATCTCGAGTGTGATTGTCTGGTTATTCGTAGATGAAAATTTAAGCCCTTTAGGTGTCGTATCTCGATAGCGATCCATCGAGATAGGTTATAATGCGATACATCAAAATTTTACCTCCAAATAAGATTTGTCGCGAACGTGAATTATCGTAGGAAGAGAAAGGATAATTCAATTGAGCACGGTCTTCTTCGTCTACGTTGTCTAAACCAGAGAGAGTACTTTATTAATTGAGCCATCCAAGTAATCAGATGAATCTTTTCTTCCCGGCTCTGTATCTAAAGACACAGCCGCCTGTTAACTCTTAGAACTTAAAACTTAGAACACATCGACTCAGATTTTATTAACAGACTGGCGACCGATAAGGAAGATTTCCCCATTTCGTTTAACAACACGTTGCATATTTTGAATGAAAGAATATAATATCGATAATAACTAGACCGTAGATTTTTATTTAAATGTTTCTTATATTCCTAATACAAATATTAATTTACATAAGCAGTCTAATAATAACAATACACAGTCGAAAATAAGATATGATACTAATAGGTATAGTGATTTTACGAAATTTAAAAAGGATACAAAACGTATTGGAAGATGAGGCCTCGACTAATATGCAAAGAACAAAATTGACACGAAGATACGATCTCCGTTCTAACGAAGCTGACCAAGAGTCATCATTATTTTTTTCTTTCTCTTCCTTTACTTTTGATTTCTTTTTCTTTTTTTTTAATTTTTGCTTCGACATTTACTGTCGATCAGCAAAAAAACGTCATGCTAAACGTTGTCTGTGACCGGTGTCCGGTAACCGAACGTGCGCACGGATCGTAGGAACACAAAGGGACGATAAGAGAAAAAGATGCTGATCGCGAGATTTCGGACGGCGCCGTCTGCTCGTTATCTGCACCTCTTTTGTTCCACGCAATTCCATCCGCGCTCTCGAATATCTTCCTCTTTGGCGACACGCGTGGCGGCTGCCAAGAGTTACCGGAATATTCTCTAGCCGTGTGTTGACTCTATCGGAGATTGAAATATTACCAGATTCTTTTACGATAGTAACAATTTTAGCCAGAGGAAATAATTGAGGGCGAAAGTTTCTGGATATATAATATTGTAATTCGGGTTATACTACGAAAGTATCTTTTAAGTCTCAATTATTCCGCTATAGTACGTCGTATATTTTTGATAGAAAAATTGTTTCGAAATTAGCTACGTGTAGAAATTAACTTTGGCTTTATCGAAGTATCTCTAAAAGTATACATGGTTTTAATTCAATAATATGTACAAATTCAATGATATTGAATTTTTATAAGTATTCTGTACTGTTTTAAAAAATAATTCTCTTTTTCTCAATTATTCTGTTATCACGTTGCACGTACAATCTTCGTGTTAGTGAGCACTTCGGTTTATTCAATATGAACTGACTTGCATCAACAAACTGAAATACCTTGAGATTCATAAGTGAACGGAGATTTAAATTGCCAATACCCCCGTGAATTAACGCCCGGAAAATAACCGGAATTTATGGAAAAATTTACAGACAGAATGAAGTTGTCGAAGGTTATTGCCTTGCGAACTGCAAGTTTCGAGTCACGCGAGCCTTTTGAATAAATCGTCTGTTCTTCGTTTGTGCATTATGTGTATGGATCACGTGTAAACGAGCTGGTTAAATCGTTCGATAAGAGCTCCCAGGGGAGAGGAGGGTATACACCGTATGCATTCCGGAGTTTGACGTTTTTTGCCCGACGCCGACGCCCACGAGAC